TAATTGAGTCCAGAATAAGGGAGGTGATCCTACTGTCCATTGCCCCTGTAAGATTTGATCTGGAAGATTGATTGTATTTATTTATTTGTGTGTCTGAGTATGAAATTTTAGGAAAGAAATTGATAAGGTGAAAAATTTCTAGATTCTAGAGGGTAGAGGCAGACAACCAATATGGGGAAGAGATTTGACATCACACTAAGGACAACTTGAAGGAAGTGGGGATTTTGAGCATAGAGAAGAGCAAATAGGGAGATACGACAGCTAGCTTTAAATATTTGAAGGGCATTTACTAAGTGCCTACTATGTGCCATGCATGCGCTGTGCTAAGTGTCAGTGTTAGAAAGAAAGGCAAAAGACAATTTCTTCCCTTGAGGAGCTCATAGTCTAATAGAGGAGAAAACATGCAAACAACTATGTACAAACAAGCTATATATAAGATAAATAGGAAATAATCAACAGAGGGAAGGCCCTAAATATTAGAGGGGATTGAGAAAGGCTTCCTATAGAAGGTGAGATTTTATTTGGGGCTTGAAGGAAGTCAGGGAAGCCAACAGAAAGAGATGGGAAGGGGGACAATTACAGGCATGGGAGACAGCAAGAGAAAATGCCCAAAATTGGAAGATGGGGTATCTTATTCAAGAAACATCCAGGAGGCCAGCTTTACCATCAGGATCAAAGAGTTTTAGTAAGGTTGTTGTTGTTTATCTTTTGTTCTCGAAGTCCAGTGGCAAGATATAGATCAGGATGACTTGAGACAGCCCTTATTAGTAAGGTGTAAGAAGACTGGAGAGGAAGAGGGGGGCTGAGTTATGAAAGACTTTGAATATCAGAAGATTTTATATTTGGTCCTGTCATGTTGAAGAGAGATTTGACTAATCTTGCTTGGGCCCTCAGGACAGAATCTGAGCAAATGGTAGAAACTGCAAAGAGATAGATTTGGCTTGGATGCAAGAGGAGAATCTTCCTAACAATTTGAGCTTTTCATATGTGGACTGTTCTTATACATGTCTTGGATCAGTGTCCCAAGCTCAGAAGGCACTTGCTGGTGATCCATTTAGGAGAGTGCTGCAGAGGAATGGTTAAGAAGCCAGGAGACAGGAAAAGTCAGTGTCAGAGGAGCATCAACACAAATAATTGAGTTGGAATGCTGGTGACCACAGGGAAAGACAAATATCCCAAGAACTGTAGTTCTTGGAGTGCTGGACCTAATTAGAAGACTAATCTTCTAAGCTCAACTATGGCTTCAGACACTAGCTTTGTGAGCTTGGGCAGTCACTTAACTCTGTTTGCTTCAGTTTTCTTATTTGTAAAATGATCTGAAGAAGGGAATGACAAACCGCTCCAGTATCTTTGCCAAGAAAACCCTAAATGGGGACACAAAGAGTTGGGCATGACTGAAAAATGACTGAACAACAACAATACTGACAGAGTTTGAAAATAAATGATATAATGGGGATGAGAGAGGGAGCAATCTGTTGCAGGAGATAGCATGAAATAGTACTGCTTGAACAGGTAAAGGGGGGTTAGCCTTGGTAAGGAGTTAGGCCACTTCATCTTTTGAGATAAGGTTGAAGGATGAGATAGTGGTTGAAGGCATCTGAGTGACAGCAGATGAGAAAGGGCAGAAAAGGAAGTTCATGGTGAATGGCCTCAATTTTTTTTCTGTAAAATATGAGGCATGGTGCTCAACGGAGAGAACAGGGAGAGAGGTGCCATAAAAGATTTGAGGACGAATGAAAACGTTTGAAAGAGCTGCTGGAGACAATGGGATAGTGAGTTGATAAGGCAGGTATAGTAGGATTGCCTAGCACCCATGACAGCCTATTGAAGCTGTGTACCATAAATTTGTAGTGGACCTTGTCAGAAAGGATGTGTGATTTTCTACATCTTCATTCAGTAGTATGTGTTTAGGGTTGAAGGCAGTGAATGGTGAGAGTGATCCAAGACTGAGAACTGGCTTGGAGTAATTGGTGATATAAGGGGGCCAGGGATTCAAAGAGAGGAGGACAGAGTAGAGTTAAATTAGTCCTCTGTCTCAAGGCTCCTATCTAAGGAGGAATCAGTACTCTCCTTCAGAGACTGTAGAGTGGGTTCCTGGTTTGCGCCCCTCAGTTCCCACCCCCATCAGGAGAGATCACTTCAATTTTGGGCCCACTTCATTAGCTGTTGAAGAGAATATCCAAGATACCTTGGGCCATGTCATTAGGACCCCAGAGTGCTTTGTTAATCTGAGTGCTGGGATAAGGGAAAGTCATACAGAGTCCAGAACCTGCAACTGAGTCCTTAGTATATGGTCTCTTCTCAGACTTAGCTATTGGCAGATGCCCAAGTCCAGTCCAACCCATCCACAAGTTTCATGGAATCTTGAAAATTTTCTTTCCTCCCTTCTACCCTGACCTTAAGCACCAGATGCAGCAACTTCTGAAGCTCCAATTAGCTCAATCTGACAGAGCTG